GATTTAACAATTCTTTTTTTAAAAAATGTTTAAAGATAGATTTATTTATTTATTTATTCATTCATTCATTCATTCATTCATGAGAGACACAGAGATAGAGAGAGGCAGAGACACAGGCAGAGGGAGAAACAGGCCCCACATAGGGAGCCTGATGTGGGACTCCATCCCAGGTCTCCAGGATCATGCCCTGGGCCGAAAGCAGATGCTCAACCGCTGAGCCACCCAGGCATCCTGTGATTTAACAATTCTGTACATTACTCAGTGCTCATCACGTTAAGTGTACTCTTAATCCCCATCACCTATTTCCCCCATCCTCCCTCCCTCCCACCAACCTCTCATCTAGTAACCATCAGTTTGTTCTTTATAGTAAATAGTCTTTTTCTTGGTTTGTCTCTCTCTTTTTTCCTGTTTTCTTAAATTCCACATGAGTGAAATCACATGATATTTATCTTTCTCTGACTTTCAGTTAGCGCATACTAACTCCGTCCATGTTGCAAATGGCAATATTTCATTCTTTTTATGGCTGAATAGTTTTCCATTGTTTGTGTACACACACACACACACACACACACTACATTTTCTTTATTCATCAACCGATGGACACTTGGGCTGCTTCCGTAGTTTGACTATTATAAATAATGCTGCCATAAGCATAGGGGTACCTATGTCCCTTTGAATTAGTGTTTTTATTCTTTGGGTAAATACCCAGTGGTGTGATTGCTGAATCGTAGGGTAGTTCTATTTTTAACTTTTTGAGGAACCTCCATACTGTCTTCCGCAGTGACTGCACCAATTTCCATTCCCTCCCGCAGTGCAAGAGGGTAGGGTTTCTCCACATCCTCGCCAACACCTGTTGTTTCTTGTGTTTTTGAGTTTAGCCATTCTGACAGATATGAGGTGATATCCCATTATAATTTTGACTGCATTTACCTGATGATGAGTGATGTTGAGCATCTTTTCATGTGTCTGTTGGCCATCTGTATGTCTTTGGAGAAATGTCTGTTTATGTCTTCTGCCCATTTTTTAATTGGATTGTTTTTTGGGTGTTGAGTCAATTTTTTTTATGTATTTGAGTACTACCCTTTATTGGATATGTCATTTGCAAATATCTTCTCCCATTCAATAGGTTTTCTTTTAGTTTTGTTGATTATTCCTTTGCTGAGTAGAAGCTTTTTATTTTGATGTACTTCCAATAGTTTATTTTTGCTTTTCTTTCCCTTGCCTCAAGAGACGTATCTAGAAAAATACTGCTATGGCCTATGTTGGAGAAATTACTGCCTATGTTCTCTTCTAGGATTTTTATGGTTTCGGGTCACACATTTAGGTCTTTAATCCATTTTGACTTTATTTTTGTGAATGGTGTAGGAAAATGGTCCAGTTTCATTCTTTTGCATGTTGTTGTCCAGTGTTCCCAGCGCCATTTGTTGAAGACACTGTCTTTTTCCCATTGAATATTCTTTCCTGCTTTGTTGAAAATTAAGACCATATAATCATGAGTTTGTTGCTGGGCCTTTTATCCTGTTCTGTTGATCTGTTTGTCTATTTTTGTGCCAGTACGATACTGATTTGATTACTACAGCTTCCTAGTATAACTTGAAATCTGGAATTGTGATATCTCCAGCTTTTTTTAAATTCCTTTTTCTTCTCTGATTGCTGTGGCTAGGACTTCCATTGGTGAGAGTGGACATCCTCATCTTGTTCATGATCTTAGGAGGGAAGTTCTCAGTTTTTCACCATTGAGTGTACTGTTGTGAGTTTTTCATATATGGCCTTTATTATGTTGATGTATGTTTCCTCTAAGCATATTTTGTTGAGGAATTTTATCATGAATGGTTGTTGTACTTTGTCTGATGCTTTTTCTGAATCTATTGAAATGATCATATGGTGTTTATCCTTTCTCTTACTGATGTGATCTTTTATATTGATTGATTGGCAAATATTGAACCACCTTTGGCATCCCAGGAATAAATCTCACTTGATCATTGTGAATGATTTTTTTTAATGTATTGTTGGATTTGGTTTGCTAATATTTTGCTGAGGAATTTTGGATGTATCTTCATTAGAGATATTGGCTTGTAGTTCTCTTTTTATATGGTATCTTTATCTGGTTTTAGCATCAGGGTGGTACCAGCCTCATAGAATGAATTTGGGTTTTCCTTCCTCTTCTATTTATTTTGGAATAGTTTGAGAAAAATAAGTATTAACTCTTCTTTAAATGTTTGGTAGAATTCATCTGTGAAGGCATCTGGTTCTGGACTTTTTGTTTATTGGGAGTTTTTTGATTAGTGATTCAATTTCATTGCTGGTCATCGGTCTCTTCAAATTTTCTGTTACTTCCTGATCTGGGTTTGGGAGGTTACTTACATCTAGAAATTTATTCATTTCTTCTAGGTAGTCCTATTTGTTGCCATATAGTGTTTCATAATATTCTCTCATAATCACAAATCAACCCCCTCCCTTTTGTTTTTAAAGCAGGCTTCACACTGGGCAGGGCTTGAACTCATGACCTGAGCTGAGATTAAGAGTCGGACACTTAACCTTCTGAGCCACCCAGGTGCCACATAAGTCAGCCCGTTGACATTAAATGTGATCTATACATCTAATAGGATTGATTGAAAGTAAGAACTTCTGAATTAGAAGTTAATTTGGTGTTTTGATAGAGATAGAATTCCTGTTTTAGTGTGCATCCCAGCTGTTCTGTCTATAGCAGCCTGCGTGTCTGGGATGAAATCTGGGCAGAAGTCGCATCGGCTTTGATTGAGACAAACCAGACTCTGGAAGTTCTTAGGCTGCCTGCAAAACCTGTAGCTGTTCACTGAGCTACGTCCACAGAAGCTGTAGTCTTTAAGTCTACAGTTGTTGCATGTTTCAAAGAGTCCTGGGTGGGTCCTGATTTATGCTTGTGCAGAAGCAGTGAGTACCTAGGAACAGGTGCTGAGTAAGCTCCAGGGAAGCCATTTTGATGCTCTGGATCTTTTCAGTGTTAAAGCACTAGGAAATGGTACCTTTTCATTCTTGTCAGGTAATAGCAGATACAGCCTGATGAGCTAGATGTGGATGTTTATCCTCTTATCCTACAGGATCTAGCAAGGTCTGTCTTTTCCCAAAGCTTGAACTAAATTTCAGTTTATAAAATTTACAAAAGTCATACTTGATTGTTATATTCTTGGAAAAAAACTCCTCTAGGTGACACGAATGTCCCATTTCCATTCTTTTTGTAGTAAATGTGTTCTGAAATACGCATGATGTGAATGTTGAGCAGATTATGTTAGCACTTCATCTTAGAGGGTCTGGTATAATCTTCCCCCGCCCAAATAGAATTTTTCTTGCTTTGTGTGAAAGTAATACATGTTTGTTTAAAAGCAAATCAGGGGATCCCTGGTGGCTCAGTGGTTTAGTGCCTGCCTTTGGCCCAGGGCGCAATCCTGGAGTCCCGGGATCGAGTCCCACGTCAGATTCCTGGCATGGAGCCTGCTTCTCCCTCCTCCTGTGTCTCTGCCTCTCTCTCTCTCTCTCTCTCTCTCTCTCTCTCTCTCTCTCTCTCATAAATAAATAAATAAATCTTTAAAAAAATAAAAGCAAATCAATGTTGACTTCCAGCCGCCCTCAGACCAGCTGCCAAGTGAGTGCCTTTTGCATCACCTGCCACCAGGCCATGCCCATGAGCGTGTCCGGGTCCATCCACTTGGATCACTGCCAGCTTCCTGGCCATATGCACAGGTGGACAAGATAGTACCTAAAATTCTACTCAATTCTGAGGAATTCAGAACAGCTTTTGGGACTGAAAAAGTGACAACACAAACCTCAGCCTTCTCAGAATATAATTATGAATTCTGTAGATAATATAAATATTAAATGTGTATTTTAAAATTTTACTGAAAGCCAAGATGCCTATCCTTAAGCAACTAATACAGTGCTGACTGAAAAGTGCTCACAGTAGATACTAGCGATACATTGACATGTGATTATGGTTTGGCCTATATTTCTCGAAAACTGCCCAAACTCCTAGCATCAGTTTCTTGAATGTGATTTGGAAGATATTTAGTCTTGAATATCATGTGAGGTGTAGAGTATTTAAATCTGGTTTATTTCTTTAAGATTTTATTTGTTTATTCATGAGACACACAGAGAGAGACAGAGACACAGGCAGAGGGAGAAGCAGGCTCCCTGTAGGGAGCCCGATGTGGGATTCAATCCCGGGTCTCCAGGATCACACCCTGGGCTGAAGGCAGGCACTAAATATGCTGAGCCACCCTGGGATCCCCCTGGTTTATTTCTTTGAATTAATTTTAAACATAATGGCAAGTGAGAATTATAAATCAACTATGATTTTTATTTATTTATTTTAGATTTTATTTATTTATTCATGAGAGACACAGAGAGGCAGAGACACAGGCAGAGGGAGAAGCTGGCTCCATGCAAGGAGCCTGACGGACTCGATCCTGGGTCTCCAGGACCACGCCCTGGGCTGAAGGCAGCGCTAAGCCACCCAGGCTGCCCTCAACTATGATTTTTAAAAAGTGAAATTGACAATGAAAACAAAGGCCATGTCAGTATTAAAGTGTGCGGTGCAGCAAGTATCCCCTTATAGTTGACCACTGTTTGGTATATTCTCCTCCATAGCCACCCTTCCTTCTTGTTACTCCTTCCTTTTTTCCTCCTTTCCTTCCTTCCCCCTTCCCCTCCTCACTTCTTGCTTTTATTTTGTTGTATTACAATTTTTGTTTGTAGATTTTGTTGTAATACATCTTTAAAAATATCCCCATACTTTTTATATGTATTTAAAAAAACACATAATACCACAAATAGTTTACAAGAAAGACTACTGAATTTCTTAAAAAGCAATATATATACTCAATGAAGAAAATGTGGAATATACACTCTAAAGAAATAAAATTGCTGTAACTCGAAATAATAGTTTTTATTATATTTTTTCTATATGCATAGGTACATATATAATACTTGTAAAATTATAATTATTGTACATTTTATCACCACAGGTACCACCACATCGATATTATTAAATACTTTGTATGCTGGGTACTCGGCATACAAAGACAACCAATATATGGTTCTACTTAAACAATCTTGGAGTATCTGCTATGAAGGCACGTCATGAATTGATTATAAAAATTTCAGACTTCTAACAAGCTTGGGTTTTTAAGAAATCACTTAGCTTTTTAGGTGACCCCCCCACCACCACGAGGTGAGAGAGGCTGGATTTGAGGTGAGGAACAGCAGCTTTTGTTCAATGTGACATTTTAGCTTGTTAGACTACAGTGTATTAAAATTATTTTCTACAGCATATTAAAATTTGTTTTGATTTTATTTAAATTCAGTTTGCCAGAATATAATAATAACACCCATTGCTCACCTCGTCATGTGACCTCCTTAATGCCCGTCACCCCATTCCCCTCCCTCCCCTTCTACAACCCTTCGTTTCCCAGAGTTAGGAGTCTCTCATGATTTATCTTCCTCTCTAATTTTTCACCACTCAGTTTCCCCCCTTCCCTTATGATCTCTTTCATTATTTCTTATATTCCATATATGAGTGAAACCATATGATAATTGTCTTTCTCCGATTGACTTATTTCACTCAACATAATACCCTCCAGTTTCACCCACGTCAGGGTAAATGGTAGGTATTCATCTTTTCTGATGGCTATAAAATTTTTTTGCTAAAATTTCAAACTTAAAAGTGGGGAGAATAGTAAAATGAATCCCCATGTCCTCGTCACTCATGTTTAAAACGTTACCGAGATTTTGCCGCATTTGTCTTAGCTCTTTAAAGTTTTTTGTTTTCTCTTTGCTGAACTAAAGGAAATTTCATATCCTGCCATTTTACATCTATAGTCTTAACTGTCTCTAAAACATAAGGTTGATTTCTTATATAACTGTAATTCATTTTTTTTGTATTCCTTTTTTTAAATAAATTAATTTTTATTGGTGTTCAATTTACCAACATACAGAATAACACCCAGTGCTCATCCCGTCAAGTGTCCCCCTCAGTGCCCGTCACCCATTCACCTCCACCCCCCGCCCTCCTCCCCTCCCACCACCCCTAGTTCATTTCCCAGAGTTAGGAGTCTTTATGTTCTGTCTCCCTTTCTGATAAGGGAAGGGAGAAGAAATGTGTGGGAAAAATGTATAACTGTAATTCATGATCATACCTACAAAGTTTACAGAAAGTTCTCGAAGTGTCATACCTAAATTGCTCTTATAAGCTAAGGTTTTTTTTTTTTAAGATTTTATTTATTCATTCATGAGAAACAGAGAGAGAGGGAGGCAGAGACACAGGCAGAGGGAGAAGCAGGCTCCATGCAGGGAGCCTGATGTGGGACTCCATCCAGGGTCTCCAGGATCACACCCTGGGCTGAAGGTGGTGCTAAACCACTGAGCCACCCGGGTTGCCCTAAGCTAAGGTTTTTTAACATCTAAAGTCAATCCTGGAAAAAAAATAAAAAATAAAAAAATAAAAATAAAATAAAATAGGGATCCCTGGGTGGTGCAGCGGTTTAGCATCTGCCTTTGGCCCAGGGCGCGATCCTGGAGACCCAGGATCGAATCCCACATCGGGCTCCCAGTGCACGGAGCCTGCTTCTCCCTCTGCCTATGTCTCTGCCTCTCTCTCTCTCTCTCTCTCTCTCTGTGTGACTATCATAAATAAATAAAAATTTAAAAAATAAATAAAATAAAATAAAGTCAATCCTGTAATGCTGTCATTGAAATGGTCCTATTTCTTTTTCAGATTAGTGATGATGAACCAGGTTATGACCTAGATTTATTTTGTATACCTCATCATTACGCTGAGGATTTGGAAAAAGTGTTTATTCCTCATGGACTAATTATGGACAGGTTAGTAAGATCTTCAATTGAAGTTTTTGGGTTTCTCTTCTATTAATTTCAGGTGTCCGCAAGTGTTTCAAGTAGTTGATATTTGAACATAAACTAGGCCAACTTGTCAAATAATAGATGTTTTCTATTTGAGAGCCCTCTTTACAAACAGGGTATAGAGAGAGCTTACTAATTACCCAGTGTAAGTCATGGTATACTGGGAATCTGTAGGGAGTAGAATAAAGTACACTGAAGGGAGATTGGAGGAATGAACTCTAGTCACAGTCATGATTACTCAACCCTGAACAGGGTAATGGGCTGGGGCTAGATCACATGAAGGGAAGGTCATATTTTGATTAGTATGCATATCTAGCTTGAAAATATCCCCTTAACTGAATTGCAGTGAAATCCCTAACTTGGTGTTTGAATGCTTGCCTTGTATGTCTGGCTATTTAGTTTTTGATTTTAAGATTATAGTATCAGTACATGTGTGTTGTAAAATATTCTAAGGATTGAGGCTATAAATGAGTAAAGTAGGGTTCTCTCCTCTTCAGCCTCCTTTATACAATCCTTCCTTCCACAATGGTTATGCACATACACTGTGTGCAGATATACGTATAGTTAACTCTTGAACAACATGGGGGTTAGGCACGCCGACATCCATGCAGTCAAAACGTGTGTATATAACTCTTGACTCCCTCCAGAACTTAACTACTGATAGCCTACTGTTGACCAGAAGACTCACCAATAACATAAACAGTCGATTAGCACACACTTTGTATGTTATATGTATTCTATCCTGTATTCTTAGAACCAAGTAAGCTAGAGAAAAGAATATGTTTTTAAGAAAATCATAAGGAGGAGAAAATACATTACATATGGTACTGTATTTATTTTAAAAAATCCCTATGTAAGAGGGCTTGTGCAGTTCAAACATCGACTGTACATATTTTAACACACAGGTATGTACTATCATAGAGGTCTGAAGTTTATTGGACATTTTTTCATATTAGTATATTTAGAGCTGTATTGTGTATTTCGAAGGTTGCATAACATTCCATTTTCTGACCATACCATAATTTATTTAAGCAGTTCTTTATTGATGGACATATCTTCATTAATTTGCTTTTACAGAGTAGAATGGAATGTCTTCTTACACGTGTTTGGGCACTTGCTTCAACTTTATCCACAGGGAAATTCTGGGTTAAGGGGAAGATATTTATTGAATGTTTTGATACTGCCAGATTATCCCAAAAGGTTACTGTAATTTATACTCCCAGTGATATATGAGAATGCTCTTTTTTTTTTTTTACAATTTCTTATAAGGTATATTATCAGGAAAATTTCATTTAGTCAGAATTTGTCAATCTGATATGTGGAAATGGTGTTTTAATTTGCATTTTGAAAGTTCATGATAGGTGTTACAGTGTACCTGGTTTTTGAAGATTTTTAAGTTTTTATTTTCACTTTATGAAGCAAGGATATAATTCATGGGGGGCAAAGGATGTGTTTTGTGGAAGTGTAATGCCTAAGGGGGTTGTTATAGAGTTAAATATATTTCTATTATAAGTTAATTTTTGTTAAATTCCTGATTTTATTTCTGTAGGACTGAGCGGCTTGCTCGAGATGTGATGAAGGAAATGGGAGGCCATCACATCGTAGCCCTCTGTGTGCTCAAGGGAGGCTATAAATTCTTTGCTGACCTGCTGGATTATATCAAAGCACTGAACAGAAATAGTGATGGATCCATTCCTATGACTGTAGATTTCATCAGACTGAAGAGCTACTGTGTAAGTATATCTACTCCTGAAACCAATATCGCACTATATGTTAACTAAAATTTAAATAAAGATTATATATATATATATATTTAAGAAAACCATGGCAACTGTAGGTTTTCCTGTATGTTTTTGAAGCTCTGCAAACTATACTTACATGTTAATTTCACTTGGTTACAGTGAGATTTTCTAATATATTTTCTACTGCTTTATAGCCAAGTGAATATTGTCTTTTTCAAACTAGTCACCTTGGAGGCTATACACTTGTTTTAAAGGATTTTTAGTTTGGTTTTGTTGCTTGGATTTTTTTAAAAACTCCTTTTAGGAGTTGATGTTAGGACTTGGGAGCTATTTTTGAAATATACTTATTGTTACCAGATATATATCGCCTCTGGAGCTAGATTGATTTGGGGGGGGAGGAGTGGTAAGTCATTTGCAGCTGAGTCTGATAAAGAAGGTGGGTCAGGATTGTTTCCTAGAAAGCCCATGTGGGGTGAAAGCACTGGCACACTGAAGAAACCACTTCTGATACAGTTACTCTGTGTGTGTCACCTGATCTCAGATGCTTCAGAATAGTGACACAGTAAGCAATATTGACACTGTGGGATGAGCCATAATCAGTGTAATCTTTACACATGGATTTCATCCTCCATCATTTCTTTGGTCATGTGAATGTTTGATTTTTGTGAGTTCGTGCTGTGGTTTGTTTCTGGTTGCATGCTGCCATTGTAGTTCCCGGGAGTTGATTGTTTCCCTCAAAAGTGAGGTTTCTCTTAGCTTCTTTGGGGGTTAGAAAAAATGCCTGCTCTTTGCTGTTTCATAAATCCATATCAGGCATCTCGGTAGCAACTAGCCTTATGTTTATATTTTCCTTGAGAGTTAAGACCACATATCTTACATTTAACTTTCAACCTTATTCTCTCAGTTAATCATCCATTTGACCCAAGTTTTTGACCTTTTCCACATTTTCATCAGTCCTATGGGTAACTCAAGAACCATTTAAGACATTTTCCTTATCCCCTTAAAACCCTTTGTGCTCAGATACCATGACATTGCTTTAGACTTATAAGTTCCTTGTAACTTGTCAAAGTCCTGCATGAATTTAAAGAATTGTTTAAATACACAGTTTGGATTTTCACTCGCCAGAAGTTAGTTAGCTGGTTTACACAAAGATTTAATTCTGGTCAGTTTAGCTGCTAGCAGTATAGCTACCCAGCCTTTATTGTTGGCTTAGAGTTAAAACAGGTACTTAATGTCCATGGTATGATTTCTTTTTTTGATCTTCTTAAGTGCCCCCCAGCATACACATAACACATAAAAATCAGTCTTGTTACGTTAGGTCTTCTATTTCATTTCTTAGGGATTTGCATAGAATATTCTTTCTTTGAAAAGAAAACTTGTAAAAAAAAATGAAGGGAGTTTAATATGTCCTTTTTAAAAGTATTTTATGGTTATAAGAACAGCTTGAAGCCGTAGAAACACTTTGACCCTTTAATGCCATTTTCTACTTTTAAGTTTTTTCCTATTAGTTTTGGATCTTAGAGGATTATTTTTTTTTTTAGGTTAAACTTATTTATTTGCCCAATTTTATTTTCTAGAAACAAATAAAAATATTAAGTTGAATGGACCACAGGCTTTGGCCAATTTTTCCCCTATATATTTGCTAATATTTTCTTTTTTTTTAATTAATTTTTTATTGGTGTTCAATTTACCAACATACAGAATAATACCCAGTGCTCATCCCGTCAAGTGCCCCCCTCAGTGCCCGTCACCCATTCACCCCCACCCCCCGCCCTCCTCCCCTTCCACCACCCCTAGTTCGTTTCCCAGAGTTAGGAGTCTTTATGTTCTGTCTCCCTTTCTGATATTTCCCACACATTTCTTCTCCCTTCCCTTATATTCCCTTTCACTATTATTTATATTCCCCAAATGAATGAGACCATATAATGTTTGTCCTTCTCTGATTGACTTACTTCACTCAGCATAATACCCTCCAGTTCCATCCACATTAAAGCAAATGGTGGGTATTTGTCGTTTCTAATGGCTGAGTAATATTCCATTGTATACGTAAACCACATCTTCTTTATCCATTCGTCTTTCGATGGACACCGAGGCTCCTTCCACAGTTTGGCTATTGTGGACATTTCTGCTAGAAACATTGGGGTGCAGGTGTCCCGGCATTTCATTGCATCTGAATCTTTGGGGTAAATCCCCAGCAGTGCAATTGCTGGGTCATAGGGCAGGTCTATTTTTAACTCTTTGAGGAACCTCCACACAGTTTTCCAGAGTGGCTGCACCATTTCACATTCCCACCAACAGTGTAAGAGGGTTCCCTTTCCGCATCCTCTCCAACATTTGTGGTTTCCTGCCTTGTTAATGTTCCCCATTCTCACTGGTGTGAGGTGGTATCTCATTGTGGTTTTGTGTGGAGGTTCCTCAAAGAGTTAAAAATAGACCTGCCCTACGACCCAGCAATTGCACTGTTGGGATTTACCCCAAAGATTCAGATGCAATGAAACACCGGGACACTTGCACCCCGATGTTTATAGCAGCAATGTCCACAATAGCCAAACTGTGGAAGGAGCCTCGATGTCCATCGAAAGATGAATGGATAAAGAAGATGTGGTCTACGTATACAACGGAATATTCCTCAGCCATTAGAAATGACAAATACCCACCATTTGCATCAACGTGGATGGAACTGGAGGGTATTATGCTGAGTGAAGTAAGTCAGTCGGAGAAGGACAAACATTATATGGTCTCATTCATTTGGGGAATATAAATAATAATGAAAGGGAATATAAGGGAAGGGAGAAGAAATGTGTGGGAAATATCAGCATGTGAAACAGTGCAATTGCTGGGTCATAGGGCAGGATCTTAGAGGATTATTACACTGAACTCCTCAACTGATAAAAAGAATGAAATCTTAAACATAAGCAAAGTAAGTTTTTAGCTTAGTTTTTACATAGAGAAAAATACTATCTGTTCTGTTTTATGTGGAATTCTGTGTGGATTTACTACTAAACAGTAGAAACTAAATCCATATGCTTACTGTTGATTTGAAGTAACATTTCTGCCCCATTTAATCATTCATCAGCTCATCATGGAAAATGTTCTCATGTACATATAAAAAAGCCAGGCAACTTAATTTGGTAAAGTCATAAGAGAGAAATTTAAAATTGTTACAGCATCAGTAACATTGATGGTAGTATAGTTTCACATGCTGATTTTCCCTAGTTTGAAATAGTGAATTAAACATTAACTAATCTGTACTAATCCTAAAGAAGTACTTCATGAACTATTAAATGTTTCTGGAGTGTATATAGAGCCATAGCAATATCAACACACACCATTTAGTTTATGTTATATTGTACGTTGCCATCAATTGTAGTATGTTGATTTCAGGGATATTAAAATGTGAGTGTGCATTTTAGAACAGTGAAATGTAGCACTTTATATTCAAAGACCCTTTCTGTCTCTAAGGCTCTGCGATATTCAGAAAAATGAAATGATAAATATGCAAATGTATTTTCTTTCTTGTGAGTTCAATTTTGAAGTACATTTTTTAAAATACTTTATTTATTTATTCATGAGAGACAGAGAGAGAGAGGCAGAGACACAGGCAGAGGGAGAAGTAGGCTCCATTCAGGGAGCTTGATGTGGGACTCGTTCCCGGGACTCCAGGATCACGCCCTGAGCTGAAGGCAGATGCTCAACTGCTGAGCCACTCAGGCATCACATGAAGTACATTTTTTAAAAAATAATCTTTTTCATCATAAAAAAATGAAGCCTCAGGAGGAAAGTTGTCAAACAAGTAAATGTTTTATGGCAATATTTTTGTGGAGGCCTTAAGTACAGGGAAAATGAGCCTGATTTACTGGATGTCCAGACAAAGTGGCTTACGTTAAAATGAAATTGTTCTTAGGATTTGAAATCTTGCGAAAACCCTTTTTTGAGTTCTGAATTATCTCCACACATTATCTCTACACACAGGAGGTGTAGAGGGGTGAAGTGACTTGCCTACGCTAATACAGGTCTTTGATTTGAAGCCATACCTTTAACTATTCAGAGCACAAAGTCTTATTTGGGAAAACTTGTAACTGACTTGAATTCTCCAATATGGATTCCTTCCTTCCTTTTACTTCTTAATTTTCTATTAGAAGGTTTTTGTTGTTGTTGTTCTGTTGTTTTGTTTTGTTTTTAAGAGGAAGAGGGTGGAAGGGGCAGAGGAGGAGGGAGAATCACAAGCAGGCTCCATGCCCAGCACAGAACCCCATGTGGGGCTGCATCTCAAGACCCAGAGATTGTGACCTGAGTTGAAATCAAGAGTCAGATGCTCAACCGACTGAGCCTCCCAGGCGCCCCTCCTAGTCAGAAGTTCTGTATGCAAACGATTCTTCTTGCCAATTGTGGGACTTTTTTTTTCTCAGTTGCAGTCTGGGTACATAAAGCTGTAACTTCCAATATTAATCTTGGAAGTTGCTTGACTAGTAGCTTGATTAAGCTATTTAATATATCAAAGATGTAATTTACCTTATAATAACTTGTAAGAATGTGGCTATTTGAGTGAATTTGTTAAAGAAAATGCAGAAAATATTCAAATAGTTATTTAAAGTGTCTTACAAGAAGAGATCAGTAGCTTTCAGTATGACCTTCTCCTTCATTTTGAGGTAGGTTTTTCCTCCAGAACAGTTAAATAAATGTAAATGTGCCACTTTGATGGTGACACTGAATAGTCTAAAGCTTATCTTCTGTAAGGCTAATATCTATTTCTCTCTTTATATATACATCTATGTGTGTGTGTGTGTGTTTAAAGCATGTGTGTGTGTGTGTGTGTGTGTGTGTGTGTGTGTATAAACCAAGCAAAGTGAGTTATTAAGACCATAGACAAGTGGGGGGGGGTAGAATTTGTTCAGTTTAAATTGGTGGGAACAGGGCTGTGTACCATCTATGGTATAAGAAAACCTTAACAGAACTGGTGTCAGAAGTATATTTTGTATCCATTTCCTGTG